ACTTTAAGAAAACCCATAAATCAGTACATCAGTCCAACTAATTTAAAAAAAAAAAGGCTCATTTTTGTAAGATATTTCTTGTTTCTCTCTTCCAATTTTATTTAGAAATCTAAACCTCCAACAACTATTCATATTTTTATTTTCTCATTTTTTTAAGAAACATTCTTAACATGGTATGGAAACTTTGAAAACAACAAAAACAATGTCCGTTTCTTGTTTAATAAAAACATTGTTTTATCGTCTTTGAATCTATGGGAATGTTATGCCCAACAAACCCTTAATACCCCAACTTAATTCCTATATATTTCGAGTTAGATCGAGGTACAGCGGATTGAATTTTTCTTTCATCCCCAGAAGAAAAAGAGAGGAATGGAATAAGAAGTGTCTAGGTACAATGTAAGTAGATATATGGGTTTTTGTAGTAGTTGTGTGGTGGTGGGTTAATTAATTTAGTGGAATGGAAGATGATGATTTAATTAAGAAAATGGTGGCTTTTAGATTCATGATCATTTTGGTTTGGTCTACTCACCACCCATCAAAAGCACTTCACACAGTACTTTGGGTTTGAAAGTTTAATTTGAAGGTTGTGCAAAACCCTAATTTTAAACTTTTTGCCTTTTGCCTTTGCCTTTTGAGTTCATATATATTCCACCTAAGAAAAAAAGCACTTTTTTAACTCTTCACTCGCTTTGATCTCCCAATTCTCCTTGAAACAAGTCTACATTCATCCACACTTTTCTTTATGGCCTGCCTCTCTTCTCTTTTCTCTGAGTAAAGTAATGGCTCTTCATATATTTGGCAGCCTTGCCCAATCCATCAGTCAACTTCTTTTAACAATGTGTCTAGGTATTAGGTAATTCCATAATATATACATGAATACGATAACTTATTTGAGGTTAAATTACAAATTTAGTTCATAAACTTTTGGATCTGTGTTTAATAATTCTTTGAAGTTTAAGAAAAGTGTCTAATAACTTCTTGAATTTTCAATTTTGTGCTTAATAGTCATTGATTTATTCGACATGTTTAAAAGTTCATATACAGATACACAATTGAAAGTTAAAGGTTTTACTGGACGATCAAGATATTTCACTTTTTATGTCTAATAGATCATCAGTAAATTTTAAAAAAAAATGTCGAATAGACTAGAGTTCTATATTAGAAGCATAATTGAAAAGTTGAGGGGTGGTCTAATATGTATTTTTAGAATTTAGAGATCTACTAGAAACAAAATTAAAAGTTAGACATTTATTAGACACATTTTAAAGCTTAAGGCCCAATTAAATACAGTTGAAAGTTTAGAGACTAAATTTGTATTTAATATTCATAAGTGTCTAAGGCATGACAAATCGACTAATCTCACCTTGATCCAACTAGTTGTAATTAGGAAATCTGTAAGACTTTTAACATCCTATGCAGGTAGACACGATGATATTCGAATTCAAGTTAAATTATACTTTTAGTCCCTAGATTTTAGTTTTATCTCAATCATACCATATATATTTGTAACCAGGTCTACACAAATTTTCTAAGTTTTAAATATCTAAACGCTCATCTCTCTATTATTTCAATGGTGAATTTGGTATTACATGTTTAAACATTATTTCTTAAAATCCTTTTTAATAATAAAAAAAAGTACTTTTAGTTATACATTTGGTTATAAATTTATTTTGTGATACAGCAGCGATTCTACTGATCACAAATTCTTTTCTTACAAGTGATCATTTTCCATCCCTCCCTTTTGAGTCACTTTTATATACATAAAATTATCTCTCAAGTGTTTTTTTTAATTGTTTTTAAATCGATCTATTGGTTCAAAGTTCTTTTTATTTATTACTTAAATACTTAAAAAAAATATACTTTTAGTCGTCTAAAATCACTTAACAAGCTATACAAAACACAGTTTAAATCAGTAATTCTTGTCAATGCGCTTAAAGGAAAAAAAATAATTAAAAAAAAATACTTTTCTCAAAATCTATCTCAATCACACACCAAATATTGGTGGGATACAAGAGCTAATGCATTTAAAAATAAAATAAAAAACCCCAATAACTCAAATCTAATTCCTTTAAAAAATAGAAAAAAACCCAAATCTAATTTGCTCCCAAATATGGCATTAATTTATTATGGCACCTTGGAGGCAGCTGATATGTTGGATAAAAGCATTTGTATTTGACAACCTTGTTTGATTCTTCAAATCCCTTTGCCCAAAAGTTGGCATTAATCTTTTATTAAGGACCCTATGCCTTTGGGAAATTTCTCAACCATTCAAACTCTTTTGGTGTACTTTAATATTGAGTGTAATTGCATCACTAGATTCATTCAAAATTTTTCAACCCTACATTTTACTCCTCTCATTTCATGTCTTACCATCATCAAAAAAAATTATTTTTTCTCTTAATGTGTTAAAAGATATAGTTTCGATACTTAAAAGTTTGCCTCCATTTTTAATTTGATCTTTAAATTTTTCAAAATTTTATTTTTCCCCCCTCCATTTTGAATAAGATCTTGATTCAATTCTCGTATTTAATTTAAACCTTTAGAAAAAAAATGGCATGACTCATTTTATTGCTGTCTGACGTGCAAAATTTACACATTGTCGATTTGAATATGGTCCAAGTGATAATATACATATTACTATTATTTAAAAGTTGATGGCTTACTCTCTCACCCCTACAATTATTAAACTAAAAAAACATATATAATTATATAAGAATAATAATAACGAATGAATTTAGAACTCATTAAAACTTAGAGATTAATTTATCTCTACTAAAACATTAGGGGGGTTTTACATTTTTTTTTCTTCTCTATTTGTTTCCTTCCATTCCATTTCAATTATTGTTGAACTAAACTCAGGCAATTTTTAAAATTTATAGGACCAAAATGGATTTTTTTTTCCATGATTGATGTAAGCCTTAAATTGTATTATTATTATTTTTTTTGGTTAGTCTTCGGGGGTAAGTTTTACTTTAATTTTTCTTTATATACTAAAAATTATATGAGGTAATGTTTGTAAAATGGTTGAAGTATAGGGGTACCTTTTGTAGTTTAATTCTTTTTAACTTTTTTATGTGTCACGTTAGCTTTTTCATCCATATGATTATCAACGTTGACAATTTTATTGTACTTTCTTTTTCGAAAATTTCCTATTTAAATAATTCAAGCATTCATTGTTAGTTCCAAGAGTTCAATTTTCATCATCACAAAAATTAATATAACTCCAATTTAAAAATTCTATTTTGATTGCTCAACTTTTTAATCTGTTTTATTTTTGTTCTTATTTTAAAAATGTTATATTCCGTGTACCTATTTTTTTTTTTTTAATAGAAAAAGATGATTTTAAATTCAAACAAAAGGAAGAACCTGAAGTAACAAGACACGGTAAATTTCTATTAAATACACAATAATAGAGATGATACCGATCCAAATGAATTTTTATACATATAAAATCACCCAACTAAATTATTTGAAAATTTAGAAAAAAAAACACCCAAAATGAAATAAATATATAAATGTTAAAAGACCAACATAAGATTTAAACATGAGGATTGCGCATAATTAAAATTTGGAAAGTAAAGACAATAATATCTTTTCTTTTCTTTCTTTAGAATAAAAGATAATTAATAATGTATTTTCATTAATAGGCTTGTATATACTTCTTAATACGTATAATTAAATAATATATTTTCAATCAAGAGGTTGTGAGTTTGATCTTCCACACCCATATGTTGTTTTTAACTCTGTAATTGACATATGCTTCCAACCAAGAGGTTCAATTGGCAATGAGAGGGGTAGCTCATGTCTATTATAAACCTATGTAAGGTCCTTTCTTTTATCAATGTAGGATCCTTAACACGAATCCCCTCCCCAACATGTTGTACTAAAAAAAATTATATTCTTGTTTGTTTTAAAAAAAAACTCTATTATTGTTTGAAAATATATTATTTCATTTAGTTCTTTTACATATTAATTCAAAGATACAAAGATGTTAAATCAAAATATACTTATTCGAATAATTAACAATCATATAAAAATAATTAAATTAAAAAAAAAATCTTTTAAACATTATTTCCAAATTCTCCTTAAATTTTCGCATTAATGGAAATATAAAAAATATGTTTCAATGAAGAATAGAGAGAAATTCACTTTTAACTCTTTTATTCTATGTAAAGTTGGATTCCAAGTTAACTTAATCCATTCAATTTAATTCCCATCATGTTGACCCAACCCAACACTTGTACTCTCTTTCATATTTTATCATTTTCATTTTTTTTATTCTCTCTATTTTGCTTTTTTCCCCTCCTTTTCTTTTAATTTAATCAATGAAAAACATGAAAAATTATTTTATTCCACCCCATTCTTCTAATTCATTCTTCCATATCTCACACTCTTCTCATTTCGAATTATCTTTCTATCTAGTAAGTTTAATGACAGATCAAGGACCAAACCTTCAAATTAGTGTCTTATGCACAATTTAGTCGAATTAGCAAAAATCCCTAATGCCAATGTTGTTAATCAGATATATTATAACATCGAAATAAAGATGAATGATTATTTGATACAATACATTAAATAAAAGATGAATGGAAGGAAAATGTTTCATGGTGCACCAAATGTTCCCGCCAAAAAACGCGCCCCCATAATTTATGATAGTTTTTTTTTTCTTCAAACTTTTTACTGTTCATAACTTTCTACTAGTGGTGCCTAAGTTAACCCAATGATACACCAAACAAGAGGGTATCTTGCCTCTATACATTTATTTCTATCATTTTTAAATAATCATGTCATGTCATCATTCTATTCTATTAGATCATTAGAGCTAAATAACTTTAAAAGAATTACAGTATAAAATTCAGTTTTCAAAAATGATAAATTGAATAGACACACCCATAAAACATTCCAGAATTAAATTTGCAATTGAACCAAAAGTACTTTTAGAAACTTTATTATATATATATATATATATATTGAGGAATGTAAAAGCGGGAGCCCTAAATAAAAAATAATTGGTCTCCAATTTTGAGTGGTTATATATGCCTGTGTTCTATCAACGCAGACTTTCCAGTCCTTGAGCTGCTGCATCTTGGACTAAGCTTTTTCATGCAATCAAGCCTCATAATCTCACCAAACCCTTCCTTCTGAGTCGCCGGAACTTCACCGAGCTGTGTCACAACACAGCTCTCCCAGCGTTCTCCCAAACACTTCAAAACATGTCGGTCGCTAACGCCGACACACCTCCGGCCCTATCGGAGGCCTCGACGGTCGGGGACACGCACGCCCCCGACGTCGAGAAGAGCAGCAGCCCAACCGACAGGGCTCGCTGGGTGGCTAACCCACCGGAGCCGCCTGGTCTATGGCGCGAGCTTGTAGATTCTCTCCGAGACACCGTCTTTCCCGATCCGACCAAGCTTCTGATCTCCATCAAGAAGAAGACCGGAACTCCGCTGGTTGCTTCCGTTTTCCAGGCCTTCTTCCCAATCCTCTCCTGGGGTCGGAACTATAGCGCTATCAAGTTCAAAAACGACGTCTTGGCCGGTTTGACTCTTGCCAGCCTGTGCATTCCACAGGTAAATTAAAGATTAAATTCATCCTAACCTGTCAAGGCTTGTATAGTTGGCAGAAATTTGACTTGGTAGTAAAGAAAGAAATTTTATTAATATTAAGAAGAGCATAACCTATCAATTTTAAACTACCTTTTAAGTATAGTATCAAAGTAGTAGTTGTATATTGAAAATTGGAACACCCTAATGTCATTTCTTTTTCAAATTAATATTAATAATCACTCCGTGGGTATTATTGATTTAAATCTAAAAAACCAAGTTGTTGATTTAACATTTACAATAAAACCAAATTGATGATGGAATTTGTGTGACGCAGAGTATTGGGTATGCAACTTTGGCGAAGCTTGAACCACAATATGGCCTGTGTAAGTTTTGGAAGAATTAATGAATGGTTGTGATTTGGAATTTGGAAATTGAAAAAAGGTTTGATTTTGATTTTGTTGGGTGTGTGATCTCAGATACGAGCATTGTGCCGCCGCTTGTTTACGCCGTTTTGGGAAGTTCAAGGGAAATAGCCATCGGTCCGGTGGCCATAGTTTCTCTGCTTCTGCCGGCGATGATCCAGAATCTCCAACATCCCGCCGCCACCGCCGATCCCGTTTCTTACACAACCCTTGTCCTCACCGCCACTTTCTTCGCCGGAATCTTTCAAGCCTCCTTCGGACTCCTCCGGTCTCTCTCTTATACTTCTTTTTCTTCCAAAAATTCTTTCTTTCCCTTATTAATTTGAGAATGTGGGCAAAGTTTTTATTTCTTCTTTTAATTGGTTTGTACACTCAACTAAATTTATTTGTTACGAGACAGACACACTCCCACCAACTTTGAAATTAAAAGTTGGAAACTATGTTTACTTAGACAATTAGATATTACAACTCTGTTTTTCATTAAATTTCTTATTTTCATATCACTCCGGAAACACAACCATAATTTTTAACCATATGTATTTGTGGGTTTCTAATTGTAATTATCATTATTGTTCATACTTTATATATTTTTCAAACCATCACTAATGGAATTGTAGCAACCTGACTTAATTGCATTAATGATTTCAAACGTTGCTCAAATGGAAGGTTTGAAAGTACAAAGACAATGACTTTCATTTTGTTGTATAGCGTTT